GGAATGCCTTGAACGGTGTGGACTGTGTCACTCCTCGATGATGAAATGAAGTATTGAAACCAGAGCAACTTGAAAAGGACACAGGGCTCAGACACTTAGTCTTGTGTCGTGGAATATATCAGTTCAAATCCAATTCAAATGGCTTAAACATTTGAACTAGGATTTCTTTAGACAAGTGCTTTACTCAAAGGCTGCCTATGAAAAAGGATCGAGCGAGTCTCCAAATTGCAGGGAAGACTGTCACGACTGCAAATCCCAAATGAAGTGAGACTCTTCTCTTCGTGCCTCACTCTGTGAGAGGCAGGGCTTAAGCTAGACTGAGAAGAAAGTCTTTCTCCTAACTGGCTTGATCAGTCCCCAGGTTGGTGTGCTACCTGATGCAGCTCCCACCTGAGATGCCAAGCTTCCACCCATGCTTTCCGCCGTGCATGAGAGTCTAAAACAAGCCTGTGAATTCTGTGTGGTTCCCTCTGCTCTTTTAGTGGGTCTGCTCCAGACACACAACAAAAAGGTTTCATCTGCACAACGCTGTATACAAAAGTTATTGCATCTGATAGATTTAACAGAGTTCAATCCTCCGGTGCATACACAGGTCAGGGACCACACTACTTCAAAGCCTCTACTCTTCTTTTCTCATATGGTATCCAGACCAAAACATGTCAAATTTTAGTGCACTTCTACAATTAATGCTTTCTGTGCGACCTTAGTTGGAAGCTTTTGGAACAGCAGTTTTTGGATCTGATTGGATTTTTGCCATTTGCAAAGCATTACCTCTAAGAGTAGGAGGATACCATATATGTCTTTTCATTCTTCCTGCTCTACTTCACATATGCAAACTGACATCTCACACTGTACAAATAAAGGAAATGGAGACTCTGGGAGGGATTCAGCTGACTGAATGAGAATTTTTACAATGCAGGAGACCACATCTGAGCACATCACCTTGCGCCCTCCTTATGGTTAGTGGAGAATTAACTGATGTAGGCAGTGGGATACACAGAGCAACTCTTCTCAACCTGAAGTACGCACCTATGTGTGGCTGGATAAATAGCACCCCGAAATCCACTGGCTATAGTGGGAGCACAACCAACCAACCAACTAGCTCAGAAGCAGACATGTAAATTTAAACGAGACGAACCCATTGGGCAGCCCTGAAAACTTTTCACCCATTAAAATTAGACTTGGCTTTTTAAAACCCAAACCTTGTGATCTGACATTTCTTTATACATTAATGACATCAGTGTAATCAATGGAGTTCACTCTCACTAGTGTTACCTGGTAAGCATGGTCCGTGTGTACGAGGTAGAGGTTGGTAGGAGCTGAGCGGCTCAGAGGTGTCATCAATTTAGTCTCGGTTTTGGCACAGGAAATTTCAGGATGGATTGCGTCTTGGGTGGGAAAGGAAGGAGGAGATGCTAAAGATGGAGAGACTGGGGAAAGACTGCTTAAGCCATCAGCTACTGAGTCTGTGTTGAGCCTGATTTCTGTATAGTAAAAATCCTCCTCTCCATCACTGTAGTCAGACTCTCCTACACGTCTGTATCAATACAAAAGAATGAAGGACTGATTAAATGAAGGCAAGAACCCCAAGGTGAATTTTAAGTTCTAGATGCACGAGCAAATACATTCATACAGTCAATAAATTAATATTCCTAGTGTCAACCCTACCTATTTTATCAGCATTCTGGCTGCAGGGAAGGGGAGAGGAAAAGAAAATCATCTAGCCTGAAGGGAAAAGAAGCAGGAATTAGATTTTTTTTTTAATGTGTGTTATTCTTGCCCAATTCTTTGGCCTTGGAGTAGATGTTTAACTTCTGTGCTTCAGCTTAAGTATCAGCTTCTCATTCCTAACTACTGCAGTTAACAAGAATCTCAATGCACTTTGACTTCAGAAATGACAGAGCAGCCACAGAAGGATGAGTAAAGATAACAAACATGGGCAAGATATACCTCACTAACGTTACAATATGCAATTTTATCATAGGTTACTTAATTAAACCAAATATGGTTATGGCTGTGGTTCACTGTGACTTTCCTTGGCATAACAGAAGAAGCCGCTAGAAAACAGTCTCACCACGCAACTCACTCGGACACAGGTAGAGAAAGGAGATACACGGGCTGGCTTGCCAGTGCAGGATTTTCTGGTCCTACTCTCCAGAAGCAGACTTACTGAAGGAGGAGATGTAAAAGGTTTAATTGCCCCTGCATCCCTGGCACTATCTGCTGTGTGTTTGAGCGCAAGTCCCAGGAGCGAAGCAGCCCAGTCAAAGCAGCAGTTCCTAGTAGGCTACATGTTACCTTGAAGTCCAAAACAAACCACTGTTTTAGCACATTCATAATCCAGATGCTATACAGATCTAACTCACAGTTCATATATGTGTACTTTCTCCTGAATCTTCCATATGGTAAATCTGGGAGCCCTAAGTGTCCTCCTGCCTGCATGTCCGTATCAGGGCTGAACACTGGGCCTCTCCTTTTCCAGGCATGCACCCCAAAACCAGCCTCTAGCCATTCTTCAGCCTGCTTGCCCATATACCTCTACCTGTGGTCCTCTCACCACCTTACTCAACAGAACTCCTTGAGTCAGGTTTGAAAGGCTCTACCAGAAGTACCATCTGAGACCGCAGCCAGTCGCTCACCAAAACTCCTCTCTCCGGCAAAGTTACAAACTCCAAATTTCAGGGAAGTTCTGCTGTTTACTTCTCCCTCTCCCGTGCCACGAAAAGGATGTCCCCGTAATATACAGGACAAAGCAACACTTGTTAACGGCATTTTGAAAGAGATTTTCTCTGTTTCTGATAGCCTCACTCTTGAGAGCCTAAGCCCAAAAGCAATTACTATGACCTTTGCAAAACGCTCCTGAGCTCCACAGCAGACTACTTCCTCATGGTCACTTTAATTTTTAAGCACTGGGTAACATAGACCTACACAAGAGAGATGTATTTCCAAGTACCTAACAGGTGAAGACCATGAGTCCCCACTGTAACTATATATGAGACAGCTAGGTCACTCAGTGAATTGCACAGGAGATTTCAATTGCAAACTAAAGCTTTGAAAGAAGCTTGTATCATACAAGATTCATTTGCTTTTGCTTCTAGTCCAAGTAACGTACACATGAAATTGCAGCTCAGTTTCTTTTTCTTAGGTTTCTTAGGGGTATTTTTTTGAGTTAATTTGACTCAGAACTAGCACAAACACCTGATCTGATGCGAAACAAAGCTGGAAAGTATTCATGCAAGACCCTGAAACCTGCTGTCTTTCACACAGAGTCAGCCTGGATGTGTCATGCGGATAGCACACGTGAAGTAAACGCCACTGAGTTGCGCTGCCATTAGGGAAGTGCAGTATGACCTAGAGCTGTATTTGACCTTCCAGTAAAGTTCACAAAGGTTCAAGAAAGGAAGTGCCTTGCTGTTGGAATAAGTTCCCGTTCACCTTGATGCACTAGTCCGCAATTTCCTCAGAAACCTAGGGATCTGAGACAGAAAAGCCAAGGACAAGCCAGTCCACCTCCCCGGCCAAGTGCAACTGCTCCCCTTCTATACCAAATCCTTTAGACTTCTGAAGAGACTGCTCTCTTACCCAAGGTGAATGGTCCGTATGTGTTTCTGAATCCCTGCAGCTGTGCTCAGTACCTTCCCACAGTTTTTCCACAGGCATTTGAACATCACCTTCATGGAGTTCTGGAAATTATGAGTAAAGCAACATTAATTGCATGGAAGATAGAAAGAAAACCAAACCACCCAAAACAGATATATAGTTACAAAACACTGTGAAGGTTCAGAGCTTCTAACTCCGAATTTGTAATGATGTAATAGTCTCTGTCAACAGCATCATGCTACTGAACCCAACAGAAGCCCAGTGAAAAGCCACAGGAGCAGCTCGTGCCAAAACTACCTCTCCTCACTCTCCGGCATGGCTTTTTCATTTCCAAGTTCCAGTTTCTGTCTCCCCACTAAAGGAGGTAGATGATATAAAAACTTCCTACACTTCTTTGGAGCCTTTCAAAGAACAACTGATGAGGACTTCTCACTTAATACAAGCCACCTTCTTAAATTAAGATCTTCCTAAAGCAAGCTTTTATGAATATTTCCGCTCGTGAATTTTGCAACACAGAAAAAATATTGTGCCAGAAAACCGTAGCTTCTGCAATGACAATATTCACCCATGAGCTGGCAAAACCTGCTTTTATTTAATTCAGGAGCTGCTGTGACTCTTACTTGGACAAGAGAATGAGAAGCCACCAGGCTGTGTTCAACATTTTTTAAAAAATGTGTGTTCAACATTTTTAAAAAAATATGTGTATAATCTTATTTTAATATTCTTGTTATATTCTTTAATATAACTTCATTGGCCTAAACTGAGTTATCATTGATTTAAAGCACAGCCAACAAGGCTATAACCAGCCCAATCTTCAATATTTTGAAGACTCTGGAGAAAAGTAGTCTTAATTTAAAGCACAGTATGTGGTAACAAACAACACAGATGTTGCAGAACTGCATAGATTTTTTTAAAAGCTAATTTGACCCCAAAACGAAACCTACTTTATAAATTTTAAATTTTAAAAAAAATCTAAATAATTTGTACTTCTCAAAAGTAATTTTCTCTATTATTACAGAACACATTATTAAAGAAAACATGAAGAGCTTCAAAATACTGTATTATTATCCTATAATTTTAGTTACATGTAAGATTAAATGAATATATTCATATAAAGCTCGATTAAAAAAAAAGGGAACAAGCATCTCCTTAGAGTTAAGTACGTGCTTTGCTCTGTCTTGAACAAAAGCTGACTTAGTGCTTTCTTCAATTTGGATCCTTTGGAACTGCATGCCAGCAGATGGTAAGTTTCAGCATTTGCTAGAAAGATGATGATTAAAATATAATTTTAAAAAATGTCAGCTGATGGGCTTTTTAAAATACAAGTTGATTGTAGTAGCATGTTCTCATAGTTACTTGGCAGTCTAACATCTCCTGTTTGAAAGTATGGAGGCTAAGGCCTTTAAGATTTGAGGTACCTGATCATACTGTTTGTATGAAAACCTTCTACTTTGGAATAAATTGCACATAAATTCCCTCTACAATTTTTGATCTGATAATACAATTACCATTCAAATAGATACAGAACTCTTTTTTCCTAAAATTAAATGTAATCTATCTAGCAATTCTGAGAGATGCATTTCTCCCTTTTGTAATATAATACTACATACTATCATCAGCTCAAAAACCCACAACCAACCATGGCGACAAGATAAAGACCATGCTTATCATTTACATCTTAGGAATTCTGATATGACGTCATGAACACCATATCCATCTTTATGAACACAGAATGGTTTAACATCAATCTGCGGTTTGATGGTAAAACCAATCTCCTAGCTCCACTGTGTTTTTAGCTTTACTGTCAATGCTAGGACTCTGCAAAAACCCATGCATTTTAACATAACCAAATGAAATCTCACTCAGTAGAAACACATAACATAAACCATTCTTCCATTTCTGACTAGTAAAAAAATTGCTTAATCAGGCTTAATGTTTTATTTAAGAAAATAATGGAACATAAATGGTTTGGTGAAGAATAACCACATTAGCGGAAACTTTAAAGCAAGCAACTTTCTTAATGGGAAGCGGTTGCTAACATGACATTTTCCAAACATGAAATGGAAGAAACTTTAACGAGTAAAAGCAAGGATACCGATCACTCTATTTCCAGGTTTATTCCTTCTGATTTTTGCAGCCCTAAAGAAGATACAACCTGAACATTTTTATTTCAGCTTCTAAAGGTGCAAAGCTGTACTCAGATAAAGTACCATGCTGGGACTAGAATCAAAAAAACTGCAGGAAACACAGTTCATTTATAAAACAAAGCTTGGCAGGTAATATTGTTGTTTATCTACATTAAACATTTGCCATACAGAGCAAAATCCCTGTGAACTAGAATAGATAGTGTAATAGATCTGTGGTGGGTACATAAATAGAAATATTCGAAAACAACTTGGATAACAACAAAGATGGCAGCTGCAAACCCATCTGTCTCACCACAGCTGAGCAATAAGAGTGATGCTAATAAGCTGAACTTCAACTGAAAAGTAAAAGGCAAACCAGCACGCTTCTGCATTCCTACTCCTCCTGTACCACACCCTCCAAAATCACCTCTGTCTTTAGTTTAACGTCAGCTCTAACTTCTAATTTATTATAACAAAGGTGTCCTCCAAAATATTTTTCTTCCTTTTTAGCAAGAAGCACAAACGTTTTACACCCCTCTCCCACAAACAAGGGCAGAACAGTGTGGGTCAGCAAATAAGCAACTTCTGGAGCAAAAGGATAAATCTGAACAGGTTTAAACAATCATTAGAACTTCTTCCTGCTGGTGATGAAGCAATTAACTGTCTCAGACTGAGCCAGAAACAAAGTCATTATGCAGAATGAATTCTCTGTTTTTTCTCCTTCTTACAAAAAGCCCTTTTTCATCTTGCTATGTAAAATCTGTCCTGTTGCGTTGGGAGGGAAGGAAACTTGGACTAGTGCCATCTCTTTGTTTTCTTTTTCTTCAAGAAGAGCTTGCTTGCTAGCATAACGGTGCTTTTTTGGAGTTAGTTTTGGGCTTTTTTTTTTTTACACTGTGTTTTATTTAGTCTGCTTTTGCACTCCTACCGAGGATAAATTTGGTCACTGCTAATACTGTATCAAAAGCCATCAGGTTTTGATCTCTCTCTCCTCTTTTCACACCATATGTTTGAGCAGAGAAAGCTTCACAGTATTAAGGTATCTGACATGCTGTCAGACAAACAGCACTTCCAGGGAACAAGAAGTATTAAGGCCATATCCAGTTTTTGTGATGACATGTAAAGGCTGCCTGTTGCATACTGCACAAAAAGAATTTGCCAAAGTAGGATAGAAATCCCTTGAACGGCCAGAGGCAACACCTTCTGGAAATCACTCTAGTGTTTTCTGAGCAGGAGGCTCTGTAGAACCTCATCATCTGCCAGCAAATATGTGGTGCTGATGGCAGCATGTGTGTGCAGTAGGTGACCAGGTTAAACGAGACATAGTGACTAGGCTAAGTACCTACATTAATTGGATGCCAAGGAGGGATACACATACAGAGCTGTTCCTTTCTCACAGCAAAATAAGTCTACCAACATCCTATCTGCCCCTTGGTATGGAATTTAACGTGAGGCTAACCTTTCTCTTCCTAGGAATAGGTTCATCAAAGAGAAGGTTGCTTGTTTCGGCTTCATCAATACCATCATCTGGCTGGGAAGGTGTCCGAAAAGCTTTGAAGCTATCAGCTGACAGAGGTGGAGATGGGGTGGATGGGTTGGACTGGTCACTGGGAGCGTTCCAGCTCCAGTATCCACTGCTGCTGGTACTAGAAGGCACAAATCCTCCTTCTTTCCAAGATCCATTTAGGGATTCTGTCAGGAACAACAACAGCCATCATTATAACAGTATCATGTGTTAGGGCTAAGCAGCTCTTTTATCTAAGGCTTAGATGCCATGTTGGCAGTTAACTGTACATTCAATAAAGGAAAACAAAAGCATTGGATGTAGAGAGGACAACCACATCTACCCCACTGCACACAAACTATATATTCCACATTTGATTTTTCAGGTGTTTTTAAAAAACAAGTATTTTTCTAAAAAGAAATGCTGGGTTTGGAAAAATAACCTGTTCTGGAGCATAAACCTCAATATTGCATGCATGATTAAGGGAAAACATTCAAATACATCCTCAAGTTTCAATAGGAACACATGACTGTGGTGGGGCATCAGAGCAAGCTCCAAGCCACCACACGGCCAACAGGAGATCCCCTGGGAAGGGGACATACACTCTGAGCCCAGGACACTAACCAGATCTGCAAAAACATGATCATCATCCCAGTACTAAAACACCAAAGAAAACCATAATTACACTCTAACTGTCTTCTCATAATCTCCCAGTGTACACACCTCTGCCTAATTTGAATCTCTAATTGAGGTGGTACGTATCCTTGGAAGGATATCCCTTTTTCTTCATACACATGTATCGTTAGGCATCTGGTTTCAGAAGTGGGACGCATAGACACTGGATCACCGCCACACCCGCTCGCTGGAGGAACTCCCTCCTCGCTGCAGCAGTTCCCCTGACATTAGGTGGTAAGCAGGCAGGCACTCAGACTAACAGGTTATTCTGCAACACGGTGGGTGGGAGAAACAGCACTGCTTTTGCAGTCTGAGGCATGGCTTTAGCCATGCTTCACGTGCTGAGGTCCTCAGGCGTTAGACATTGGCATGTCACTCTTCCCATTCCCTGAAGGGCTTTTGGCAGGAGAGGAGTATGGAGGCCACCAGCTCAGCAAAGGTATGGCCCAAGCGTGTCCACTGGTGCAACCACAGGCGGCTCTGCCTGAAGCTTCAGGTTCTCACAGGGCTTGAGCACAGGGACGGTTTAGGTGCAGTTTCTCCTTAACTCAGGCATTGGAAGCTTTTCCCAAAGACACCGTAGGTGCCTGAGTATTGTGCAATACCAGACTTTGGAGTTAGCAAGCAAATAACATCTTATCTGTTCATGAAACGTTATTTAAGTGTGAGACAGAAGTCTTTTCAAGCCAGCGCCTGCCTTTAAGAGTTCTGCAGAAGTCACTCCTTCATTCCTTCTCAATTTCTTACAGATAAATTTAGCTAATGACATCAGCAAGAAAATAATGCCTACCACCTGCTACCAAAAGCTTAACCCAAAGCCAATGAATTTTTATTTTTTTTCTCCTAATTAATTTGGTTTTGGACGAAACCCTTAATGATTAACATCAGCTGCTCCCAAAACAGAATGCAGTGCTCCATCATGTAAGCACATGCATAAAAATACCCCCTTGCGTAGGCAGCAGCCAAGTCCCTACATTTACTGATCAGGGCCGCTGAGCATAAATGGGATCAACCCTCCCTCCCCCCTCCAAATTCCTCTTTGGAAAAGGACATACACATTTCCGGTAGCTAATTAAGTTAACATATGAAAATGTCATGTTTTGGTTCATGATTAGCCTTCATGTGACTGTAACGGAGGTGGGTTTTGTTTCTTTTAAGTATTTATACTTGAGTCTCGTGCCAAAGCCAAGAAGTACATCTGCTATCAACTTGTGACCTTAGCATAGCTTAAAATTTCCATTTCTTCAGAAAAACAAAAGAAACAGCACTCTTTCAACTACTACTTTCTGACACATTTATGGTGGTACTTTGTATTCCCAGGGTTTACAGTTTCTCCTCACCTTGCTGAGAGAGAGATGTAAATCAAGAACATTTTTAAAGTAGCATGGAAAAGACTGAATGAGGCTGACAAAAGGGAAAAAACAAACGCTGTTTCTCATTAATACTAACAAATCTGTCAATGTAAAGAAGTTTAAAATATAAATAAATGCAACTTACTCTTATTTTGGGGCTTTTATCACATTGCTAAAGTTGCATGAAAGAGAACCAGACCAAATATTACTCAGCTGCAGAGAAACAAGGGCCAAACTGATCCAATTTACATGGGTGATCACTCCCAGTAATTCCAGCACAGATCAGACTTTAATATTGATGCTAATGTTATTTTTTGTACTTCTAGGCAAAATTCCATTTGTTTAAACAAATGTTCCTTTAATTACACTGCTACTTACTGCCCTTTTTGGAAAAGGATGTAGTAAAAATTCATCATTAGTACGTTTGTAGCTCGTATTACTAAGATCAGAGCCGAGCCTTGCAACACCAATTGAGCTTTAAATTATCAAATCTTTACACTTTTATTGAAGTCTTTAGTAGTCTTCACTCGGGCAAAACTAAGTCATTCAGGGAGAAGGTGCCCAACAACAGCTTCAAAATCTTGTGTGTGACTACTGAAAACACGTGAATTATTTTTTCAGGCTTGTCTTCCCAGATTTTGGGAAACAAGCAGACAAGCTATGTGAAGAAATATCAAAGAGCACTCAGGCTGCATGAAGAAATATCAAAGGCAGTTAACAGCTACCATTCACCTATTAGCAATTCAAAAGGGCTTGTTTGGAAGATCTTTCCGACTGACAGCTGCTAGCTAGTGTGCACTGCCGGTCCTGACAACTGTCATCTGCTCAAACTGTTTAAGGTGGCAGATACTGCCTTGCCCCACACGAGAGCAGCTCCCCGTGACCAGGGACGCAACGTGGGCCACGCGTGTGCCTCGGCTACTCCAAATCCCTGCCTGGCACATCAGCACGGATCCACCTTCATCTGTGCTTTTGGCTGTGAGCTGGAGCAGCTGGAGAGCAGGTATGTTTTCTCCCTTCCATTGGCCTTCCCTGGAGGCTGGCAACCTCCCAGCCCTGAGGTGGACAGTCACTGGGGATGTCACCACTAGAGGTGTCCCAGGGGTCCTCAGAGCAGTGATGCTCCATAAATACTTCTGGTTTTAACATTTGGTAAGTGTGTTGAAAGCACACAGGCAGCAGCCATGGGTGTTCATGGCTAGACTTCCAGCTAGATGGATAAAATTTAAGTTTTCTGGAAAGAAATGAAAAAACCCACACCATTTGTTCAAAAATCTTGAAAGCTGGGACATTCCTCATGGTACAGATTGATTTCAGTACAACATCATTCAGTGGATTGCCCCTGCTTCCATGAAGAACTGCAAAGACTATTTCCCTATTAATTTGCAGTTAGTATTCCTCAAAGTACTCCAATTATTTACAGTAGAAGGGCATTTAGTATCGATTGAACCGTTACGAGTAAGAAAAGCCAGTCGTACAAACAATGCTGAGATATCTTAACAAGGGTGTCCTAATTTAAATTATTCTTTAAAACACAACACTTCAAAAAATTTCTTGTAACTCCAGTCAAGCTTGCATAGATTAATTGTATTTCTTTAGCAATCTCATTATTACCATTAACTTTTTAGATTTATTTTTATTTGTGTGTCTTCTGCTATACCATGAATGGAGTAGTCTTTTAAGGGATTATGGATGTGATGATAGACCATCAGAGAGTTACAAAGGGCACAGGAATTGAGGGTATAATCGTGCATCGGCAGACACAGACCTGTCGCTGTGCAGACCACTAGCGCATGGCCTCTCAGCCGAGGGCTGTGATCTGGAATTGCTTTGTCTCATTGTAGTGTTGAGTGAAATCCGACTTGATTTCCTTGGGGTGGGGACAAGAACAACTGCTGTCATGTTTACTGCATATGTGCAAATGCAAATAAGCTGTTTGGAAAACTAGCGTTTCAGCAAGGTCAGGAGACCTTCCGCAGCGCTGATCTCCCATTTATGAAATGGGGCATCTCCTGTTTCATCAACTGAAGCTGCTCTATGGTTACGGAAAAGGTTTCTTCTCATTTCTGCCAACGCTGCACCAAAACCCTCGACTATGTCGGAGCAAAGCTCACGCAATATGATGCCCAGCACGCACGGGCCACTGCCAGAAGACAGCCACTCACCCTTTGTCCTCCACCATGGCCACAACTCCTGGACACAAGCCCCCAGATACAGGGCCCTGGCACCCCTCCCAGCAGCCCCTGCCCCGGCGCTGCTCTGAAGGCTTACCATTGGGTCGGACAGGAGGGCTGCGGACCAAGGGGCTGGTGGATAAACTGGTGAGTACCATGGCTGCTGTTACTTTATCCATGTCCAGTTCTTCTGAAGATTTTCTGAAACACAGTGAATGGGAGGCAGGAAACACGTCAGCAAATACTTAACCTTTTTTAGTGTTGTTTTTTTTTAAAATAACAGACCTAACCCTAAGCCAGTAACCGAAGCAAGCCACCAAGCAGAGTTCTCAAAGCTTTTGTCTTCTGGCAACCTGAGCATACCAACTGGCTACTTTAAGCAAACCAGCTCAGCATAAATAGGAAAAGCAGTGGAAAAAGAGAATACATCTTTGTATAAAATTGTCAGGATTACTGTGACATTAGTTTGAACCTGTTCCCTTTTTTCAGAATTTCAGCTATTCATATCCTTAAAGCTAGCTGTCTGCTTAGGTTTTTTTCCTTGGATGAAGACATAGAAATGCAAAACCAGGTAAGACTACCCGTAACATTAATAATATACGCTACTCTATGTAGGGAGGTGAGGAAGAACTATGAAGTGGAACTGAGGGATGTGATTTTTTCTTTGTTGCTTCCGCTTAACACTGTACTCTCGCCAAAAGACTGATCCTAAAATTTTCCTAGTCAGATTATAAACTAATTATTTAAAATAATTAGTAAATTGGCAGAAAAACAGTGCAGGGGGTGGAGGGGGGTTTCTGCAGGTGTCATGGGCGCCCAAGCCAGTGGGACAACGCAGCGGAAAGAGAGGGACCCATCGCTGCCTTAGCTCAGCCTCGCTGGGAACTGGCCCTAAGTGGCTGCTTTGATTCTATGCAGTTAAGACAAATGAATTCTGGGGGAAAAAAAAAAATAAAATCAGGAGACAGACAGAGAGGGCATGCGGAAGGGGTCATAAGGGAGAGGAGGGCAGCCAGCTTTCCGGGGGAGGGAGGAGAGGATTTGGAGACAACGGATGCCTCCAGAAACCAGGCTTCAGTGACCCCACTGCTCAAGGAGCAATGTTTTTTTTAGACAATGCAGAATTTTCAATGGTTGTAAAAAAGTACATACTATCACTTTTTTTTCCAAAAGTAACTTTTCCTGACAGGTTAGCAGTACAATGTACCATTTCTGAAGACTGAACGTACCAAAACAAAACTACTAAACCCACTAGGTTTAGCAGACTTTAGCTTTTCATCCTTGTGGGACAGTGGAACCAAAGCAGACAGCTTCTTATAAATCTCTGCTTTCAAACACACAATTGATCATCCAAGACCATCTTCTCATTTACTAGAGATAAAGTTAAATTTGTTCTTACAAAAGGACACTTTCCCCACCTCTAATTTACATTGTGGGGTTTCTAGAATTGCCTCTGTGCCTTGCTTGCCAGGAGCTCTACTTAACCATCAGGTTGAGTCTTTATTTAAAGCCCAATATAAGAAGTGTTCAGCCACCTGATGTTTTCTGTCAACTGTTGATCAGTAAGTCACCAAATCACCATGCTGCTTGCAGTCCCCTTCCTAGAATCCCATTCCACCCATCAGCTTAAAGGCTTATTAACTGAGAACTACGCTACAGTCAAAGTCTCTTGATATTTTAGTGAGCAAACCTCAAACTTGTCCATGAAACAGTTCACAGCTGCTTTCTGACTGATGCAAGGACCCACGCAGATGCTGATGAACACTCTCCCATGCCGCACAACAGCTTAGCTCTCATGACTGTCTTTTGCAACACATCAGTGCCTGGAACCGAAATGCTGATGATGGTTCCTGATGCGTTCTGATTATAGCCATAGAAGCCCTCCTTTCCTTCAGCCAGAGTTTTTGCAAAGAACACAGCAGCCATATGGTCATCACCGAATCCTGAAAAGGTCTTGGATATCTGCTATAATCAGCTAATACCTGAATCCATCACCCATCAGGTCCTCTCACCGGCAGAGGAGTATTTCACTCAGAATGCCAAATTCCTCTGGGTCCAGAAGACGTTTCTTAAGGGATGACATGGAGATGCTACATTTTCTGGAGACCAACCCTGCCAGATGATTTTCCAATTACCTAATATCCCAGTATGAAAATCCACTCTCTGAGAAGCATTCAGCTGCTCTGTAGTCCACTCCTGCAAGACTACACCAATTGTCCCTACTCCTTTATCCAGCTATAGATGAACCACTAATTTGCACTTCGGCAACATACGAGGACAAAATTACCACAGGTTCCTGATATGCTGGAGAAGCTGATCCCTAGTGTTTGCAATCAGCCTTCCAACAAGGCTCTTCTGTGTGTGTGGCAACAGGACTAACACGGCCCTGTCCAGACCTCTGCAGAATTGCAAAATCACACTACAGCAGTTGCTGCAAGCATTTGCCGCAAGCATTTGCCAAGTCGGTGTCAAGATGCCAGAGTCTAGACCCAGAGCTAAGCCCAAAGTTCCTCCAAATAGTCTATCATTTTAACTTCTTCTAGCTCTTCTGTGTTGATGGGTTTTTTTTCCCCTCTACAATGACTCAGACTGCTGCTCTGAAAAACTAACCTTTGCTTCAAATAATTTTGTCAATAATGCCCCAAAATTATCATCATTGGCATCTGTGCCTAAGATGGAAGTTTTCATAGCCAGGCAAACGACAGGAATGGTCATGAGACCCCCCTGCCAGTTCTAGCCATGCTAAACCACACTCCTGCAATTACTGGAATGCCTTTTTCTACCTGATCCAATTTAACTGGTTTTCAATACGGAAAGCCCAAATAAACAAAACTCTGAACTTCTCTGCCCATTTTGAATCAGAGTCATTTTTACTACTTAGTGTTCCTCAGCTGCATCCAGCAAACAAGGAATGCTCTACTCATACTTCCCAGCCACAAGAATTTTAGCAGCTACAAGTGTTGGCTTATGTGACTCTGCTCCCAAACACATTTTTACAGTTTGGCTCATAAATGTAAACACACATATTTCATATATCACTCAGCCAGCACTGCTGCAGCAACAGCAGCCTTCGAGAGAGAGGCAACACATAAAACTGAAGACAGGAACCACTTAAGCCATCTGCACTTAGTCAGCATCACATGTGAGTCGACGCCTTAAGACTGCCCCAGTCTTTTCCAGCTTCCTCCGCTGGAAAGTTGAACCTGCACACAGCTGTTCAACAGTATTCACACTCAGAGGGGAGAATAACTTGTTTGTTACACATTGATGGTTCACAAACCATTTATTCCACCATTGCTAAGGTGATTTTCTGCAGACTGAAGTTATAATCCCTGGTGTTGCTTATACTGTTATTAGGTGTAATGAAACCTAAATCAGTTGTAAGATCACCTACTAGATCAGCTGTGAAGATTTCTTCTTTCCTCTAATCCCACATCCCAGTCTCCAAATGCCATCTCCCAACTTCTGGACGGATGTATTTGTGTCAGCCCAGTCTGCATTTGAGACCAAGCAGTTTTGGATTCTTTATTTCCAAGTCTTTGTAAATCCAAACACATGCCAATAGCTGAATTATAACGAACCAGCTGAGACATAAGCGGCAGAAGTTAGAGGACCTTGGGGACGGATCTTCTACCACCACCCCATCTCTCTCAGCTTCATGTCTCCCTGCCTCCTCAGCAGGGAGAATGGTTTTACTTGATCCCTGCAATACCCTAACCTAGCCAGTCTGGTATTTAAAATTGTCCTTTTCTTTAATAGCCGAGCTCAAATTAAACTTAGTTACTACCCTCACTCTTGCTCAATCTTTTCCTTGGTTCTGCTGATGAATTTACTGAATTTTTTTGATAATCATTTAACAGTGTTAAGAAACTATCACATCTCCCTCAGTCAGAGCTCTCTGCGAGGAAAGGCTGGGTTTAAGCTCCAAAAGATGAGCAAAAGACGGTCCAAGACGAGTCCAAGGCTACATAAGTGTTTCAAACCAACACAACATCCCGATCTCCTACTGTCCCATTTCCTAGCCAGTACCTGACTCCCCCGAGGACCCGTGCTTCCTTATGGGACTGAATCCACGGTTTAAGCTCTTGGTGCGATCCCTCCCTACCAGCAACCTGCTGGTGAGGGGACGTCCTCCTGACCTCCCTTCGGGAAAGGTGCACAGGTCCTCTTCTGGCCACTGTCACCTTCGCACTCCCTACTAAGTGTTATTCTCATCTGGACACACCTATACCACACCTGTGTTTTTTCTTCTCTCTATCAGCCACACCATCATCTATGGTCGGAACTTTTGTTTTTTAAACTTTCTCTCAAAAAATCCTTAGCAATATGTATTTTATTCTAGTTTTGAAGTCTTTAGTCTATTCTTTATTATTTGCCTGGCTTAGATCAAAAAGCCTGCAGTTCCTCCTCTTAGAAAGATGGCATCTTAGGTCAGTACTTTACCCAAGCATATTTTAAGGGTCCTGGAGAATATTCTTAGAGCAGAGAAACTGGTAGTGGTAGCAGGTGTTTTTGATAAAATTGACCTTATTCAAAAGAACAACTAAGTTCATTTTAAGCAAAGAAAAAACAAAAACCAGACAAATTTATTTTTCCTGCCCGTAACTCCAAAGCTTTCAGTTAATTCCCTGACCAGGAACCGCTAACTCCAGCGCAGCAATGCTCAAAGCAATGATGCACAGGTTCACCATATGGAAAGTGCCCTCCTATGATCCGGAGCTGCCCCAACACAGCCTGAGTGCGGACCAGGCAGCGTTTCTTCACCAGGGCTCTACTCCCATCAAGAAGGTGAGAGGGGGGAGCAGGGGCAGCAGCATCCTGCAGCTGACAGGACCAGGCTGCAGGGGGATAGAAACTCCAGCACTGGGAGATGAGCCCACAGAGAAGGAAAGGGGAAGGATATTTTCCAATTACTTCAAGTGGGGGTTGGCTACAGAAGGTCACAGATCCAGCCTTCTTCTCCAGAACCACGTCCCCCTTTTGTTCCAGCACTGTTGCGCTTGCCTTTCCTTATCCTACTTTCTAAACAATAACCACCTGAAGCCCATATGCCCTAAACATTCAGATTTATCAGAAGGCTTACGTTTTTCTTTATTTTGGCAGAGGCATGTGCTTACCTGTTTCTTACTGCTATCCTCACCAGAGGGACACAGTAAAAAATAAATAAAATAAAAAATTTTAACTGGGATTGATCAAGAACAGCGGCAGTCAGGCACAAAAATGCTAGTATGCTATGTTAGCTGCTTCTGTCCTCCACCCAAAAACCAGCTTATGACAGTGGTTCACAAAACACCTCGATCTTTTGTTAAGGAATTAACATATAAATATGCATGCATTAGTACGCTACAACCAGGACAAAACAACAGTATATTTAAATTGCCCTCTCCCTCCCATACTTACACTTCTAAATGCTCACAGAGACCTCTGAAGTCTTACTTTGACCACCTGATTACAGCCACATCATACTGATGCCGTCATATGGAGCACTGTATCAATGCTGATAGATAAACATGTTGTTACAGGCTTTTGTACACCAAAAATATGATTCATCATATAATGAATCATTGTAATCAGTGCACTAGTAATAACCGAAGTACTTCTGAAAGAAATAAAAATCCTAAATTACATTCTACAGGTAAAACAAGAAGATTTTAGGTTTCTTCTATTCATCATTAATGGCAAAGGCAACATCCTAACAAGGAACCAGAAAGAAAAGCCATGTATGGCTGTGACTCCAGATATCTAAAGTAACTACAACTTCTGTCTTGAGCAAAGACCTACAATATCGTGCAGCAAAATATTATTAATCCATAAAATACCTTACATTTACAATAATATTTGTTTACCATCTAACAACTCAAAATACTGACAGTACAGGTAAATAAATGATCTTGCTAGGTGCTGTTAGGTTTGGTTGTTGATTATGAAGATTAAAAATTAACCCACTTGCCAAAGACAAAAGGAAAAATTATAGAGAGAATGATCCATATAACCAGTCCAAGGTCCTGAACCCTCTTTGGTAAAAGTTGTAACTTTTCACAATAAAGCAAAAAGCAAAGGGAAATATTTTCAAAGATTATATTAAATCATTACAGTACTATAATGATACATCTTAAAACTTAAGGAAGCATTACTATTTACACATGTAAAAATAGAACTGGCGTTTGATATCCGAAGTACAGACACAATAATATGATGCACTAATTAGAAGCAAGGGATTTTGCCTTTGCTCATCATGGCCAAACATAGAATTAACCTTTTCCACTCTTAACTTTGTGATATTTGCAGACCAGTTCATATACAGAATAATTGCCCTTTCTGTGTCTCTCTCTGCTGTTCTGATTATACACCAGCAATTTTTTAGGATACCGAGAGCGACTAGAAATTAATTATGATCAAAATCTTTATTATACTAATATAGGAACTTTTCTTCTAAAAAACATATACACCTGGACTTCTCAAGGGAAAAAGAAAAGTGCTTCAAAGGCTACCTCAAAGCTCTCCATCACCCTCAGCCAAGCTGCAAGATTTTGTGATTCAATTATTTAAAGGACCTTTGGAAGTCTGGCTGGTCTGTTAGAGGCCAAGGAGAGTTGATAGAATCATCAGTAATGCAGATACAGACTTTCTATTTGGACTGTAATGGTTTAAAGACAATAAAAAGTCTCTGCAAATTAGTCGTATCAGATAGGAGACATTCACAGAGTGGTTCTCAGCATCTTGGAGAAGAAAATACGTTTAACAGAAGAACTGAAGAGAAAGTGGTGTGTAATGCAGGCGTGTTTCTCAAAGTCTTTTATTTTTCCTCGCATCAGACCATGCATCACCTTCCACCGCTCCACAAAAAAAGGACTCTGTAAAAACAGGTATTTCTCTAGCCATTATCATTAAAAGCACTAAAACTTGTCAGAAAATAATTCGTTCAT